AATATATATAGATGCATACAGAATAAATGTAACGTATACAGAATAACGTTAATCAACGAGTGATTATATTACATGTAACGTATCATTTCTTTTGAATTGTATACAGAATAAGTTAATTTTTTGAAAAGATATTTAGATGCATGTTTTATCGGAGGACCTACAAGGCCCGAAACATCACTCACGATTCTAGTCCTATTTGTGCACATGAAACTAATTTTAGTCCTATATGGATCATTAACTCATTAAGTTATCACGATCCATGATATAAGTAAATCTTGTTAGAGTTATACATTTTTAAATCATGATATATTTAAATATTATACATCACTCCCAACCGTTTATGTATGGTTATATATTCGATTGATAGAAGATATTTCAATGAGTACTGATTAGTATTTATTATAAACTATCACTTTTGATCCTACAAGGTAAGAACGAAATTTATCAAGAGAAACAAGAATCGCTATAACTCATTCTCAGTAGTTGCAAAATTAATTTGAGAATCATTTAATACCCTACTAACATAACAAATAAAATACATTTTTTTCTCTGCGTTGGGGTAAAACTGCCCATAATGCAAAATCAATTGCATATATAGCACATTAGTGGGTGATTTACCGAAACACGGGAATTGTTAGATAGGTGGCCAAAATACGGGGAATTTTCTAGGTTTACCAAAAAATGGGAGTCGGAACACCCACTTCCGACTAGAGAAGGGTTTCCCAAAAAGGGTGATTTACCTCCTGTCTGATTAGCAAATTCCGACTAGGAGGTTTTTTTTTTGTTGAATTGTTTTTTATTTTGAGTTTTGAAAAAGAAAAGTTTTAAATTCTAGGGCTAAATTCATTCCATTCCAAATTTAAAAGTTTTTTTAGATTCCTAACATATTTTTTAAAATGAAAACTTAGCATATCGATTTTTTGAGTAACAAAAATTTGATTGCTTTATATTGTTTTTTAATCCATTTGTATTGTGAATTTTGTTTTAATTGCGATTTTTGTAATTTTAAGTGCAATTTTGATTTAATCCATTCGTCAAATGAGATACAAATTTGATTTTGTTTTAAGTGCAATTTTTGTAATTTTAATGGAAGTGAAAAAACAAATGCAATTTTCAATGTAATTTATTAATGAATAGATAGTACATACAATATTAAATTTAATACTATATCTAACGTTGCATGTTCGGCCCTGCTCCGTCCCCACCGCCAGTGTTCCAAGGCCCCGTTGTGTCTCCATAGTAAAACGACGAATTCAGAAATGACTCAACATAATCACCCGCTTGTGGGGATTATAATACAGCGGTGGTTGATCAAATGAGACACCTTGATGCGTTGAGAATTGAGAGGGTGGTTGATCAAATGAGACACTCTGTGTTGAGAATTGAGGGGGCGACTGTGAGTGCTCACCCCCACCTTCATGTTCTTCTGCATCATCCTCTTCGTCACTTCCACTTTCATCTTCATCTTCATAATGGAATATGCCCCGGTGGAGCATCTCTTCATCACCTACGTCCAGAGCCATCCGCCGTAGTCATTTTGGACAGTCCTTATAACTCGCACGGTAAGCTAAGAGCTGATACACCTCGTGAACGCTTTGCTTCTGCATAAAAATGTAACACGTGTAAATAATATGACACGATATATATTAATGAACATGGTATGTATTCAAAAACTTGCCACAATACCCCAATCGTGTGTTGTCGGGGTGTAGCCTGTCGTGGGCACATTGTGAGAAGGGTTCTGGACATGTGTCATACTCATAGCATGCTTCTTGTACCATTTTCGGTACCTATTAGTTGCTTCGAGGGACATATGTTGATCATAATCAAGAAAGTATATATTATGTTGTATGTCCGCCCACAACGCCAAGGCATCGGTTACTATGGTGGAACGGTTGTCGTGATGATCAGTACCCGCCAAAGGAGCATTCGGAGTATCTTGCCTTATATTGAATTGCCGAAGAAATCGATCGGGGTAATGCATTTCGGTCATATTGCAAAATATGAGCATGACCCTAGCCGAACAAAGCGGAGCGTCATTAAGGATGATAGGTGGGAGTGTCTCGGACACATAGGGAGTGAAATCAAACTATAAAAAGTTTAATTTGCAATTTAAGAACTATAAAAAAATGTGTATTGAAAATTGAATAGTACGGTTGAAGTAAAAATTTCAAGTACTACCTGACTCTCACTCAAGCGGTCTAGGTTATCCCGGTACAAGCGTATGCAGTGTCTTGGGGATCCCTTATATAACTTGGGGACGATCCACCTACATTTATTAATTACCGATATGAAGTTAAAAAATGTTTATCCTCGGGAGAGTGTGCACTCTTATGAAGGTTATGATATTAATGTATTTACCTTTTACACTCAACGTCAAGATAACAAGTTATCAGTGCAGAACAATGAAGTTATATACTTATATATAGTGATGGCATCATCTAGAGAATATGCAAGTGCCAAAGATAAATCTCCTATCGATGCAAGGTTGTATTACTATGGGATCATACAAGAAATTTGGGAACTTCACTATACCGATTTTCATGTTTCCATGTTTCAATTTAAGTGGGTAGAAAACCACTTACATGATGTTAAAATGGATGATTGCGGGTTCAGTCTAGTTGACACTAGTCGTTTTCGCGACAGTGATGAGCCATTCATACTTGCCTTACAAGTTAAATAAGTTTTCTACGTACCAGATCCTGTTGACAAGAAAATTATATGATTCTCTTCGAACTAGCTAGCCTGATGGGTCGTATATTAATCATGTCATTGTGCAGCAGGTAATTTTATACTCCCTCCATCCCGCTAACAATGGGACAAGAGGGAGTGACACACAAATCAATAAAAAGTGGTTTATGTGGTTGATATTGAATTGATAAAGTAAGAATAAAGTGAGAATGATTTAGAGCCACACAAACTTTGCCAAATTTGGTATGGGACAATCTTAGTGGGACGAGCCGATAAGATAAAACGGGACAATCATAGCGGGACGGAGGTAGTAGTATTTTTTCAAAAACATGAAGGTTGTTATTGCATTATCTTATAATTTTGAAACTATATTGTTTTAACTTTGAATGTTTCGTAATAGTGTTTTCTAGAAATATTTGCGCGAATGATGAAAAAGTGAAAGAGGTTATTTGGAAACAGATGAAGGTATAAGTACACACATACTTTCACTAAATATTTTATTACTCCCTCCGTTCCTAAATAAACTTCCAACTTTCCTTTTTCGTCCGTTCCAATTAAAATTTCCACTTTCCCTTTTTGGTAAAGAATTTGTGGTTCACAACATTTCTTACACATTTCTCTCTCCCCTGCACAACTCTCCACCACACAATATCCACTATCTTAAACTTTGTGCCAAACTCATTTGGAAGTTAAAATGGGAACGGAGGTAGTATTATATTTTTTTTATTTCTTTTAAGTTGGTAGTGAAAAGTTTGAATACACAAATATGTTATGTCTATAATTGGACATTTCAGTGCACAATAGACCTGCACAAAAACGGGTTCGGGTCAGGCTCGGGTCGGGCTTTTTATAAATTTTCTGCCCATCATGTGTGGGCGGGCCCAGCCCGGCCCGCAAAACGGGCCTAACCCTATGTCCATACCCGCCCATAAGAGCGGGCCGGGTAGTCCACCGGGCCGACTGGCCCGGGAATACTTTAATTTTTTCAAAATTATATGATTTTTTAAATACTTTAAAAATAATATTACAACATTTAGAAAATAATTAATACGCTTATGATGTTTATACGTCTTTCACCACATACAAAAAAAATACTTTAAATAATAATGAGAAACTATACACTACAAAAAAATTCGCCTGTAGTCACGGATTTAGTCACGGACCGTAGTGTAAAAAGTCCGTGACTAACACTTTTAGTCACGGACTTCGTCCGTGACTAGTTCAGTGACTAGTTCTGCGTGACTAGAATGTAGTCACGGACAAGTGGCCGTGACTAGGTGTAGTCACAGATTAGTCACGGATCGACGTCCGTGACTAAATCTTGACCGGAATAAGCCTCCGGCACGTTAGTCACGGACCATATCCGTGACTACTTTTAATTTAAATTTTTTTTGAGTTAGTCACGGACACGAGCCGTGACTAAGTTCAATTTAATTTTTTTTTATTTGTGTGGTAGTCACGGACGTATCAGTGACTATATTAAATTTAAAAAAATTGAATTTATTCCGGATAAAATGTAGTCACGGATCTGGTCCGTGACTAATGTTTTTGTTTAAAAAAAAACAATTTTATATAAAAAAATAAAAAAACGAAAATTGAATTTATTTCGGATTAAAAAGTAGTCACGGATTAAGTCCGTGACTAATGTTTTTGATTTAAAAAAAACAAATTTTTATAGAAAATAAAAAATTATTTTAATTTTATTTTAGAGCAATTACAATGAAAATAAATTTCATACGCTATTAAAAATAAAAATGTTATTACAGACAGAATTATAAAAACAAAATCGATACAATGTCAAACAATATAATGTAATTACATACCCGTACGTCGGACTCCATTGTGATAATAATTAGAATCATCATAATCGTATTCATCATCATTATCATCATAATCACGATGATGATCCTCTTCTGCATCCACGGGGTCCAAGGGTCGGGAACTTCCTCGGCTGCCTCGGTTGCCTCCTCGATTACTTCCTCGGTGGCTTCCTCGGTGGCTTCCTCGGCTGCCTCCTCCCGATGACTGAAACTGATTGAGCATATCAGGCGACAGAAATCCAAATGTCGACACTATTGCAGGCATGGCACCATAACCGGAGTTAGAGTGGTAACCCATACCACCCATGTGCGGAACCTGAGGAGTCTGCTCAACGTGCATAATGTACGGCCGAGGATGAGGTTGAGGTGGAGGCTGATATCCAGCAAGGATCCGTTCCATCGCTTCCAGCCGGGCCCTCGTTTCTTCATCATTCTTGCGTTGCTGTTCAAATGCACGCTGCTGCTCCTCCAATTCTCGCTGCAATTGGGCAATGCGTGGATCCTCTCCTCGTCTAGATTGAGAAGATGATGAAGCTCCGCTGCCGCTGCGATCGTACAAAATACGTTGCCCCTCAGCCCCGAGGCATGGAAGCCGACCCTTGTACACCCCTGTTGCCTCAAGGATGGCATCATCTTCCACATCAGAACCGATGTCATCTTCTTGAGTCAAGCCAAGTTCCGCCCGCTTCTTTTCAACATTTGCGTTATACTTTGTCTACAAACATTTAAAAAAATTATTCAAATATATTTACTTCAATTTGAAATAATAGTATTGATTTTGAAATAATAGTATTGATGTTACATACTTCGATTTCAGCAAGGCGGGGTGGTAGATTGGCTGGCGACTCAACACCGCTCTTCGTCCAACAATGTTTGATTACACTGAGGATTGGGACCCTCTTCTTTTGAGGCCCCGCCTACAAGGTTAGAAAAAGGTTTAAATAAATTTAAAAAAATAAAAGGTTAAAACGGTGTAGGTTTATTTGAATAAGACTTACAAGAGCTTCTTTATGTTTACTCTGGGGTTTGCGGCCTCCGTGCCATTGTGTCGTCATTGCCTTTTCGGACATCCGATTTTTCTTCCCGGCTTCACTTCTAGCCAAGAAAGTCGGATCCGAAGACCAATGGCGGACGAGGTTTTCCCATACCTCATCCGAACACCATTGAGGCCTTACTCCACTGGCTCGGGCACGCCTAAAAGTGGGGTGAAGCCAGTTTGAAACTCTGGCATTGTACGCCCTGAGAATAGCAGGGCCTTGTTCTTCAGTCCAGCGAAACCGGGCCTTTATTAAAAAAATAAATTAACTTATCATTTGTCAAATTTTATGTTACATCAATGACGAAAAATTGATTTTTTTACCTTGAACAAGTTCCACCAAAGTTCACGGACCTTAGGATCAACATCCGTGTACGTCGCCCAGTTGCCAAGAAAGTGTCCACCAATTATGATTTTGATTTGGTTGAGCACATCTTGATCGCTTCAAAAAATTAATATTTTTTTATAGTTCATTAAAAAAATTATTTAATTATTTGAAATTAGATAAAATTATTTGACATTAGATAAAGTTCATAGTTACTTACTTAGCAACCATGTGAGGTGTCACCCATTCGGAATCTTGATTGTTGCGCTCGGCTTGGGTTAAGGGCGCATAGTTCGGGCGAGCACGGGATGTGGATTGTTCATTGCTCATCTAAAATAATTGATTAATGAGGAGTATTAATTTACATTTTCAAATAATTGTGTAAATATAATAGAAGATCAAATTTTGATTTAAATAAAGGCAGTTTTTTAAAGGCAGTTTTTTAAAGGCAGTTTTTTAAAGGCAGTTTTTTAAAAAACTGTTTTTTAAAAAACAGTTTTTTTTAAAACAGTTTTTTATTAAACAGTTTTTTATAAAACAGTTTTTTATAAAACAGTTTTTTATAAAACAGTTTTTTATAAAACAGTTTTTTATAAAACAGTTTTTTATAACAGTTTTTTATGAAACAGTTTTTTATAACAGTTTTTTATGAAACAGTTTTTTATGAAACAGTTTTTTATGAAACAGTTTTTTATGAAACAGTTTTTTATGAAACAGTTTTTTATGAAACAGTTTTTTATAAAACAGTTTTTTATAAAACAATTTTTTATAAAACAGTTTATTGTTTTTTATAAAACAGTTTTTTAAGAACTGTTTTTTATGTCTACCTCAACATTTTATAATTATTAACATGTTAAACTTTTTTGGAAGTTTGACATGAGGGGGTATTTTGTTTAATTACTTCGGGAAACTTTTTAATTAAAACGGCTTTATTTATTAAACAGTGTTTTTTCATAGTCTATATTTTATATTAAATTTGAGAAAACTGTTTTTTAATGTCTAACTTATTATTTGATAATTATTAACATGTTAAACTTTTTTGGAAGTTTGACATGAGGGGGTATTTTTTTTAATTACTTCGGGAAAACTTTTTAATTAAAACGATTTATTTAATAAACACTGTTTTTTCATAGTGTATATTTTATATTAAATTTGAGAAAACTTTTTTTTAATGTCTAACTTAATATTTTATAATTATTGACATGTTAAACTTTTTTTGGAAGTTTGACATGAGGGGGTGTTTTTTCATGTCTAACTTAATATTTAATAATTAACATGTTAAACGTTTTTGGAGATTTAACACGAGGGGGTATTTCTTTAATTATTTGGGAATATAATGTAAAGAGGCATACATATTAATTAAACTAACTCATGTTCTTTATTTCATAAGTCCGAAATTAAAAAAGATTATTTAATCATGCATGTTTAACTTATAATGAAATTTTATGTAGGCATACATATTAATTATATGAATCCGGAAGGTTATGATCACGTGGTAGCATCCCGCCTACTGACTCCAAGACTCTAGTCATGCAAGTTTCAGGGAGACTGTATTCAGCTTTTATGTTCATAAACTCTGTAACGGCGGATAGCTGAGAGTATCCTTCACAATCAGCATACAAGGGTTGATCAGCTGCTTTTAAAACATCTTGAAATCTTTCAGCTAAACCTTCATCCACATAAGGTTCATAAAATATCGGATTTTCATCCTCATGTGGTTGATACGAGGTCGAAGCTTCAGGAGGATCGTTAGATGGTTGTGGGGGGTTGAACTGAGACATCGATGCACCGTATGCGTCATATACCATACGTTGCTCCCATCTCATTTCAGCAGGGTCTCCCCACGCACTCATCTCTGCAAGGACGTTACGAGACGAACCTACCGTTTGTGGTAAAACAGATGGATCCAAAGGTTCGCCATGAGAAGTCCAATTGTAATAATTGGGAAGGAAACCGTCCGCGTACAAATCCCACCCAACTTCTTCTGGGTGTTTAAATTTGAGATTTTTACACTTTGAACATGGACATCTGATTTTATCATCACTCATATAAGCCGGATGTTCAAGTGCAAATTTAATAAACTCCTCAACTCCTTCAAGAAAATTTGATTGCATTCCGTACAATACCGCATGTTTATCGTACATCCAAATTCTATTTTGTCTATACATTATGCCTGAATATTATAATAAAAAAATTATACAGGTTAAAAACTCTAAATTATAAACATTACCAACATATTATATATGTGGAGTATTATTAATATATTAAAATCAACTAATTCCCTAAAATTCCCTTAAAATTAACTAATTCCCGTAAATTTCACTAAATTTCACTAAAATTCCCTTAAAATTAACTAATTCCCTAAAATTCCCTTAAAATTAAATAATTCCCTTAAACTTAACAAATTCCCTTAAAATTAACTAGTTTCCTTAAATTTCACTAAAATTCACTAAAATTCCCTTAAAATTAACTAATTCCCTAAAATTCCCTTAAAATTAAATAATTCCCTTAAAATTAACTAATTCCCTTAAAATTAACTAGTTTCCTTAAATTTCACTAAAATTCACTAAAATTCACTAAAATTCCCTTAAAATTAAATAATTCCCTTAAAATTAACTAATTCCCTTAAAATTAACTAGTTTCCTTAAATTTCACTAAAATTCACTAAAATTCACTAAAATTCCCTTAAAATTAAATAATTCCCTTAAAATTAACTAATTCCCTTAAAATTAAATAGTTTCCTTAAATTTCACTAAAATTCACTAAAATTACCTTAAAATTAACTAATTCCCTAAAATTCCCTTAAAATTAACTAATTCCCGTAAATTTCACTAAATTTCAATAAAATTCCCTTAAAATTAACTAATTCCCTAAAATTCCCTTAAAATTAAATAATTCCCTTAAAATTAACTAATTCCCTTAAAATTAACTAGTTTCCTTAAATTTCACTAAAATTCACTAAAATTCCCTTAAAATTAACTAATTCCCTAAAATTACCTTAAAATTAAATAATTCCCTTAAAATTAACTAATTCCCTTAAAATTAACTAGTTTCCTTAAATTTCACTAAAATTCACTAAAATTCCCTTAAAATTAACTAATTCCCTAAAATTCCCTTAAAATTAACTACTTTCCTTAAATTTCACTAAAATTCACTTAAAATTAACTAATTCCCTAAAGTTCCCTTAAAATTAACTAATTCCCTTAAAATTAACTAATTGCCTAAAATTTCACTAAAATTCACTAAAATCCCATTAAAATTAACTAACGTCCAATAATTAATATTATTAAACTATAAACATGCACAATACGTTAATGACATTAATTTAATCCACAATACTAAAATTATCAACATCTTAATCTTATTAATAATGCACATTTAACAATTTACGTACTAAATTAAATAATATGAGCAAATTCAATAATTTGAGCATATATATATAATAAACACATTTAAATTAAATTAACTAACCCTAATTTAAATCATTATTAATCCTAAATTAGGCCGCCTTAATTAACAATACTTGCCAATATAAAGAAATCATATACTTATATTTAATCATATATATATATAAAGTCATTTGAATTAAATAATACTTACATTTATTAACTAATATTAATAATATGCATTTAAATTATATTTAATCATATATACTTACATACGTATTTAACTAATTTACGTAATTTTAATCCTATATTTTAAAATTAATAACATATGTATTGCCAATATTATATTCAATAATATACTTACATATGTATTTATTAACAAATTTACATATTTAACTAATTTACAAAAAATACGTAATTCAAATTACATACCTTATCTGCATAAACAGGAAAAATGATATGAGATGGGTAGATTACATCCTTCAATTCTATCTGGAATTCTATCTGGAGTACATAGAAGGTGTGATTTTGTTGAAGGAAGCCGAGGCTGCATATATAAATTTTGTAGTCACGGACGTAGTCACGGATGTGTCCGTGACTACTGTTTTTTGTACGAATTGTCGGTGCACTTTTAATTTGGAATGTTGAAAAAATCAATTTTTCACTTGTCACGGAATTAGTCACGGACGTGTCCGTGACTAACTGTAGTCACGGTACTAGTCACGGACTTGTCCGTGACTAATTTCAAATTTAAAAAAAAACCCTCCGGAGGCGAAAATGGGTTGGCCGGAACACTTTAGCGATTCCGTGACTACACCGTGATTAGAACCGTGACTAACTAGTCACGGACCAAATCCGTGACTACGGTCCGTGACTACAGGCGAATTTTTTTGTAGTGATATCTAAAATTTAAAATTTAAGCACAAAGTATTATCTTTAATTCTTTAAATACAAAAATAGATATTATATTGGTTGGGCTAGTTGTTAAGAACTAAAAGTTTAAATTTAAAATTTAATAAACTATAAATATGTATAAAGAAAAATTAGTAAATACAAATATACATGTGTATATGCAAATAAATAAATAAATAAGTATATATATAAATATATATATATTTATATATACTAAATGTAACGGGTCGGGCTTTTCGGCCCGAACGGGCCTACACCCTAACCCAAGCCCGCCCATATCTTATTGCGGGCCGGGCTCGGGCCGGCCCGGTGGATAAATGTATATGCCCAAGCCCGCCCATTTGTGCGGGCGGGCTGGGCGGGCCGGTTTTGTCCAGGTCTAGTGCACAACAAAACAAACAGGCGGCTTAGAATGTGTAATTTATGTAATGAGATTCATGTATGATGTGGTTAGAAGTATCAATG